AGCTTGGAGTCTTAGATCTTTTCGTAAACAGTGAAGGCTTCTGACATGGCATCCATTTTGTAGGTCTTATGTCTAGATCTGATGTGCTTGCCCATAAGTGCAAGAATTGAGTGAATTTAGGGTTCTTTTCACCTGATTTGAAAATGGACAAAAATATAATAAGACTATAACGATCACACCTGTAGATTTTAACAGTCTATAATCTACAATGCAAGTTGATGTTTTAGTTATATATTATTTCACATACTCATTTTTGGTAATCCTTTTCAGTTTTATTTTTGTCAGCTACCCTAACTAGTTGTACCACTAACTTTACTAAAGTTTACTTTTTGTATTAAGAGTTGTGACCTGTATTTTTATTGTTATAAACTTTGACACAGTTCTTACCAATATAATTACTTCTATATTTTCTTATCAATTATGCTTACATACTTATCTTCCATTTCTTTTTCTTTGTTTATTGTTTAGTGATTGATATTGTTTTATGATTTTTTAATGTGTATATATATTTTTATATTGTATATTATTATTTATGTCTATTATGTTTTATCATAAGTACTATTAATAAGGAATACTACTGCTTTTTAATCACCAAAAATAATAAGAACTACAGCCAGTTATAATAACCATTAAAATATGTCCATGGAAATAACAACAAGTACTTCTTGTGATTGTCACTTGCATACTGCATAGGAAACTTTCTAATACATTATATGTCCATATTTTCCTGGAAATCAGATTACGCAGTAATCAACAATCCTCCACTCATAAATCATTCACACCGTTCTAAAAATGTTGGCTTATATCAGGTTAAACCTGACCTTCTGTTTTTTGTAGTAATTGATTCATAAAATGATTCAGGTTGTTCACATTTTCACTCGGGAGAATCATCTTTAGTTTCTAGCTGTTCACATACTCTGTTAAGATCAATATTCTTGTTATCAGGTCACATTTTTCATACATGTTTTTACTTAGGACTGATGCTTTAGTTGAATCAAGTATTTGACATTTTTTGTCATCTGCTGTTTTATCTTAAGGTTCAATGCAACCATTTATGTGATAATTTACAATTTAGTTTACATGTCTTGTCTGTATACAATCATTCAATGTTAAAATTTTGTATTTAGTTTCTGACTCCTGATACAAATTTAGAATTTTAGTAGATGGCACAAGAGACTTTTTCTATATAGCAGTGTCTGTTAAAGTATTTATAGAAAAGAGAAAA